GTGTGAAGCAACACAAAGTAGGAACAGGTAACATGGAAACAGTCATATTTCACAAAATACCGTTCACCCAAGTAAAGTAAGTCCAGTTTGAAAAAGTTTAACTGCTTACGGTGTTTTAGGTGGTAAATGATACCCAAATCCAAGCGAGATAAAATCTTTTTTTTAAACGGCGGTTTCCTTGTAGGCAGATTATTATTTTTTTAAATTGTGAGCAACAAGCAGTGAATGGGTGCACGCTTTTAGTCCCCTATTTGACAAGGGGAATGTTGATTGGATTAGACGGGTCGAGATCAAACAACAATAATATCAGCAATATATACATATATATTTCATTATAAGTAGTATGTGAATGACTGGACAAAATTTCCCTGGAAGCCCACAACCTGTTTCGCGGTTTTCGCCGCTCGTCAGGCGTGTGTATCCGGTAATCTTTTGTCAGCTCATTCATATACTTTTACCCAGGTATATATATATATATATGCCTTCCGATGTTTTGTTTGCCAACGTAAACTGCCGTACTTCCTTTCTATTGTGAATGATTATGTAGCTTCGAGCTGGTTAAACAGAATTAGCGAGCAACTTGATTTGCTAATATGTTAAATTGTTCTCTGTACAGACCAGAAACACGCAAAATGAACAGCTGGAAATCACCATGGAGATGTTTTGATCTGGTTGCTACTCAATCAGGAGTGCCAGTTTGTGCGCTCGAATAAGAACCGAACCCCAGGGTAGTGGGTATAGGTAGAACGGAAACAAACCAGTCCATGGGTCACCGGAAGGTTAAACAAACACTTTTACTGTGTCTATGCAGGATAGAACAAAAACCATGTTTGTTTAGTTCTTAACACGGTGCAGGTTAGTCTATTCGATCGTGATTGTTATTGATTATAAAAATGGGACCAAAATTTTTACGAATCCGCTTGACATGAGCAGCCATCAGACCAAGGATTTAAGCCAATCTATAGTCATATATATATATATATATATATATATATATACATAACTCGACAGTTGTTTCGACAGCTAGTTCGGCGGTCTCATCAGTTGCAGTGAGCGAATCCATCGACCCAAC